ACACCCCCTGGGGTCCCCCCTGTCCCCCCCGGGGTGCCCCCCACATCCCCCAGGGACCCCTGTACCCCCCAGGGTGCCCTCTGCCCCCCCTGGGATACCTCCCTGCACCCCCTGGGGTCCCCCCACATCCCTCAGGCTCCCGGTGGGCATCTTGGTCTCTCTGTCTGGGTTTTTTGGGGGGAGTTTGGGGTTGCCCAGGTGTCCTCCTGGGTGGTGACACCGGGGCCTGTTTCTCTCCCACCCCAGAGGAGGGTTCCCGGGCCCGGGCTCGGGAGGACTATGACAGTGTGGAGCAGGATGGGGACGAGCCGGGGCCGCAGAGGTGTGAGTATCCCAGGGTCATTCCCGGGGCCTTCCCAGCTCCTCAGGAGCTCAGACCTTTCCAGGATTTGTCTTGGGTGAAGCCAAGAACCAGGGGATGGGTTGGAGGGACCTTCAGGATCATCCAGTCCCACCCCCTGCATGGGCAGGGACACCTCCCACCAGCCCAGGTTGCTCCAAACCCCATATTAGATCCTTGGGCACTTCCAGGGATGGAGCAGCCACATTAAAGATCATTGAATGGATCATCTGGGTGGTCTTTAAGGTCCCTTTTAACCCAAACCATTCCAAGATCTAAAGCTCATCTGGATCCAACCCCCTGCATGGGCAGGGACACCTCCCAGCAGCCCAGGCTGCTCCAAGCCCCATCCAACCTGCCCTTCAACACCCCCAGAGATGGAGAAGCCAAAAATCCCACAGCTTCCCTGTCCCAGGGTCTCCCCACCCTCACCCTCCACAATTCCCTCCTCATCTCCAACCTCCATCTCCCTCTTCCAGCTTAAACCTGTTCCCCCTTGATCCTCTCACTCCACCCCCTGCTCAACATTCCCTTTCTCAAGACCCTTCATCTCCAGGGCTCCATCCCCACTTCCCTCAGCCCCCATTCCCACCATAATCCCTCTCCCTGTGGCCCCCCCAGCTGTGGAGGGCTGGATCCTGTTTGTCACGGGGGTCCACGAGGAGGCCACAGAAGAAGACATCCACGACAAGTTCGCCGAGTACGGGGAGATCAAGAACATCCACCTCAACCTGGACAGAAGGACGGGATACCTGAAGGTGAGGTGGGATCCCAACCACCTGGAGAGGGCTGGGAAACCTGGATGCGGGGTGGAGGGGATCCCCCCTTTCTTCCAGCCCATCCTTTCCCAGCTCTGGGATCTCCCAGGGCTCGGGGTGGGGTTGGTTGTTCCCAGTTCCCCGGGAGCTCAGGCTCTGTCCCATTCCCTAGGGATACACGCTGGTGGAATATGAGACCTACAAAGAGGCCCAGGCAGCCATGGAGGGGCTGAACGGGCAGGAGCTGATGGGACAACCCATCAGTGTGGACTGGTGCTTTGTCAGAGGACCTCCCAAGGGGAAGAGGAGGTGAGGACTCACCCAGAGCCCTGGGCACTCCAGGGGCAGGCTGGGAACGTGGGGAAGGGGTTGGGATGGGTGAGGGGAGGGTTTGGGTTGGGAGGGACTTTGGAAGAACATCAGGTCCAACCTCCCTGCCACGCGCTGGAGAGTCTTCCAGGAGAGCAGGTTTCCCCATCCAGCCTGGAACTCCAGGTAGATGAGGTCACTGGTGATGTCACTGATGACATCACTAGAGGAGAGGGAGGGAAATCACCTGGTGGGGGGGTCAAAATACCTTAAGAACTGACCCCAAATCTCATCCTGTCCTGCAGGGGCGGGCGGCGGCGGAGCAGGAGTCCCGACAGGAGACGCCGATGATGGAGCCTCATCCCTACCCATGTGTTCCCAGTCTGAACTGGGAGAGGGAAACTGGGAAAGGGGGGGAGGTTGTACCTTGGGAACAGGGCATTGTTGGGGGGTGGGGGGTAAAACAGCTCCTCGCTCGGGCCAGTTTCCTTCTTCCAAGGTTGTGTTTTTTTAATGGTTTTCCACTAAGAGAAGCAGGGGGAGAAGCAGCACCAGGGGGGTTGGTCACGGTTCTGACCCAAAACACCACGTTTTTAACCATTTTGGGATGTGGGGGAGTGACCCAGAGGCTTGTTTGGTTTGTTGGGGTTTTTTTGAGAACAAGTGATTTTCTGTAAGCCCAGGCTTGGGGGGGTCTGGAGGGTTTGTTGGGTTGTTATTTTGGAGATGGATTCAGCCTTTTCAAGAAACCAGATTTTCTGTCAAATCCTCCTCTTGGTTTTGGTTCTTCATTAAACACCCCAGACCCCCCCCCTGCCCAGCCCAGGCACTGGGCTGGGGGAACTTCTTAGTTAGAAAAACCCCGTTTTCCTTTCAAATTGTCATGGAATCATGGGCTGGGTTGGGATGGAGGGACCTTGAAGATCATCCAGTCCCAC